TGTGTGTGTGTGTGTGTGTGTGTGTGTGTGTGTGTGTGTGTGTCTTAATTCGTTGTACTCAGTAGCTCACGTGTGGCACGCACGACAAGACTGCCTGTCGGCTAGTATTGGACCCCGGCACAGGCAACCTCCTGTCGGTTTCTTCTGGGGCGGAGCGCTCGCCCCGCCCCCGGCCGGCCTCGGGAGCCAGCCCAGCCCACCCAGTTCTCTTGGCTTCTGCCTGCCCCGAGGACTCTGCCGCCCGGTGCGAGCAGGCAGCGGCGCGCAGGTCCCGATTTGCGAGCATCTAGACGCAGGTTCGTGCTGCAGAACCCGCCAGGGTACTCAGCCCCCGGCCCTTCCTCTGGTCCCTTGCCACAGCAGCTCAGCTCGGAGCTCGTCCTGATGTGCCAGGCGGACAACCACCTGCCGAAGGAAAGGGGGCGGCCAGGCAAAGGGGTCATAGGCAGGCGACCCGACAGCATGCCCGGGCTATGGGCGGCATGTGCGCCATGGATCCCAAGCTGAACACTGTCACCGAGAGCTTCCAAGGGAAGTGGGGTGTGGCCCAGGTGCTCCCCCAAAGACTAGGAGGCCGGGTCACCGCTACTCAGAACGTAGAGATTCCTCATTCTGGGAGCCAGGGAGATGGGACCAAGGGGGGTGAAGGTGGGAAAGAGGTGAAAGAGACCCATGAAGACCCACAGCGGAGTAAAAATGAACTCTGAAAGGTGCCTGGGTGAGAGAAGGGAGGGGGTGTCATGGAAGGAAAGTTTAAGGGCTCTGCCTGCTTCTGATAGGACGGAAACTAGGGCAGGCCCAGAGCATTTGACAGCACGCCGGCCTTTAACAGCGTTGAGTAGATTCCCTGGCATTTCTGCAGCTGTATGGGACAGCCCTCTTTATTTTATTTTATTTTATTTTTTACTGCAGAGTGAGAAGAGAGAGTAGATCTAGAAGAGGGATTTGGGATAAGGGCCAAGCTCATTTTTAAAGCACAGATCTGGGCTCATTCCTTCCTGGTTTCCTAGCTGGGAGGTCTTGAGCAAGGCACCCAACTTATCTGTGCCTTGTGCCTTTCGGCCCAAAGACTGGAGGGAAATATCTTCGAGAGGTTAGAGAAAGTACTTAAAGCAAGGCTGAAGGTGTGGCTCAATAAGCACGGACTTGTGCAGACAGAGCCTTAGGTTTGATCCCAGTGCCCAGAAAAGCAAAGTACTTAACACACAGCACTAAACAGTAGTACCTGCTGTCTCACTCCACAGCCTAGTACAAGTACTTTGATGCTGAATGGACGAGGCTGGTGGTTGGGGGAATCAGTGCAGTGGAGGTGAGAATAGGACAGGAGAAAACTACCCAGAAGCCAAATGGAGCAACAAGGTTGGGTGCCTCCCTCGTGTCCCAACAGGAGAAGAAAGACACATGTGTGGGAGGGGGTAGAGGGGACTCTTGCTCAGGCTGGGGAAGGGGTTACAGAAATGCCTTTCTGAGGGAAGCAGGCTCAAGGTCATCAGCTGAGGGGGCTGGGCAGGAATCAGCTGAGAATGAAGGCTTTAGGGTAAGAGTGAGCTCTTTGCCGGTAGCCACCTGATGTTCTGGAATCATCCCAGAGACGGTGGGCAGTTGAGTTTATCTAGAATCAGATCGCAAGAGTCTGACCTGACCTGACCACCTGGGAGGCTCAAAGAAGCCGAGAGAAGCAAAAACACTGTGTTAATCATAATAGGCCATTTTAAACCTCTTTCCTTGTGAGGAACGAGTCGGGTACGGCCATCACCTGAGTAAATTACCGAAGTTTTTGGAACATGTCACTTGGGCCACGACCTCTGCCACACTTTCCCCTAGTGTGAGGGCTAGCTATCACGGTCAAGTTGAAGAAAGCCTCAACGAGAGGTTGTCTACATTGGCCTGTGGGCACATGGTGGGAGATTATCATATTGACTTAATTGGTGTGGGGACCCCCTGCCTGCTGTGGGTGGCACCATTCCCTAGGCAGCGGGTCCTGAACTGTGTAAGAGTGGAGAAACTGAGCACAAGCAAAGGAGCCAGCATCCACGAAGTTGTTTGCCTCTGTCCCTGACTGTGGCTGTGACTTGACTAGCTGTTTATCCCTTGACTCCCGACTTGGCATGACCTGGGAAGAGGGTCTCGGTGAGAAACAACCCCCCCCACGATAGACTTTAACCTGGAATTGCAAGCCAAATAAATTTCCTCTCATGTTGCTTTTTATCAGGGTGTTTTATCACAGCAAAGAAATGAAACTAGAGCACCCACCATCTCATTTGATCACCTTGACAACTGAGTAAAACAGACGTTTTTGTCCCCCATTTTACAGAGACAGAAACTGAGGCTCAGACACATTGAAGACCGTGTGGTGAGCTGGGCGTGGTGAGCTGGGCATGGTGAGTCAAGTGTGGTGGCCCAGGCCTTTAATCCCAGCACTTGGGAAGCAGAAGTGAACAGATCTCTGTGAGTTACTGCCAACCTGGTTTACAGAGCAAGTTCTAAGCCAGCCACGAGTGCACAGTGAGACCTTATTTCAATGTATATAAAGACCACGCAGTGAATCCAAGACCCCATTTCAGACCTGTCTGAGCTCAGAGTCTGTGGTCTGAAGGCAGTGTGTCCATCTACAAACCCTAGAGCAGTGCAGTTGGGTGGAAAGATATATAGAAGCCATCTTTGTCATTTGGCAATCTGAGACAACCCGGATGCTCCAACTCACACCTCAGGCTCCGAGACTTCACACACTGCCTTGTTCTTACCTCTCCTGTGGGGGAGCACGAAAGCCCTGGTTCTGCTCCCACTGCTCCCGTGTGTCCCCGAGCCTCACACCTTGCTTCATTGAGGGGTTGTGAGGACTGAGAATTCTGCCCAGCACACAGTGGCTGGCTGGAGGTGTGGTTTTCCTAACTAGCTCTTTGTGCACAGCTTGGCTGCTGAGAGCGGATCCCCAGGGACCTGGATTAGTCTAGTGCTGTGTTCTCAACAGAGAGGTGTCGGCTTGTGGCCAGAGGCACAGCCACCTATGACTTCCTGAGTGGGGCTTGGGAGGAGGAGGATGCTCAGCCTGAGGTGCAGAGGCCTTGGAGGGGAGGGGAAGGCCTTGTTCGTTCGTCACCATCATGACTGATGCACAGTGCCACAGGCAGGGAGGAGTCACCGGAGCCTTCCTGCTGCCTCTGGTTGCCTCGGTCATAGGGTCCTCAGTCATCAACCCTGCAGAGAACTTGTTGTAATCTGTTTTCTCAGAGATAGGGCCACAGTGTGAGAGAGTGACTTTTAGCCAAGGCCACCAGACCCAGAACTTGAATTTGGGACCTGCTTCTAGGACCTTGGGGATTCCCATCAGAAAGGTGAGCCCCACGGTCAGCACCCCACCCACGGTCCCAGAGAATTCTGCATGGCTCAGGGGGGGGGGGGGGTGGGGGAACGACAAGACAAGTGGCCAACCTTGGCCTTTCCACCAAGGTGCCCTTGGGGAGGAGATAGAGGAAGCCAGCCCCAGGCTGTGGTTCTCAGGCAGAGGAACCGTGACTCCGGAGAGTCAAGGCTGCTCTCTTCCTCTGACTCTGTCTCTTGCTCTTTCTCACTCTGAAAAATGTCTGGACACTCCTAAAGGTTTTTCAGCCTCTGTCCAGGGGATTTTTTTAACCACAAAGGGTAATTCCTACTCCATCCCTGCTGTGACCCAGCTATGACGTCGTACCACAGAAGCCAGAGAGGAGAAGATAAAGTCAACAGAATGGGTGGCCCGGGCTAGAACCCACCTCTCTCTACAGACTCCACAAGACTGGCCCTCTGGCCACCTGAAACCTCAAGATGGCCTCCAGCTCGGCCCCTGATGAGAACGAGTTTCAGTTTGGTTGCACCCCTGCTGCCTGCCAGGACCCGTCAGAGCCCAGAGCTCTGTGCTGCACAGCCTGTCTCTCTGAGAACCAGAGGTGAGGGGTCAAAGAGCCGGTGGGGAGGACTTCCAGGGAGGAAGCCCTGATGGGAGGTGGGACTGACGGGAGCTGGTGACTGTGGGGAGGTAGCTGCACCTCCCTGGGCCTCAATTTCCACACTCCTTTCTTCTGAGTGCTGACCCCCTGGCTGTGGGTAGATGGACCGGTAGCCACAGAAAGCTATAATTATGGTAAAACTTTAAGCACTTCTCAGCCACTTCTTTCTGTGTGGCCTGCTGTGACCGTTAGGTGTCTCCACGCCCCTATTTCTGGCCTGTGGAGTTGCCTTCTGCCTCACAAAATTGTTACAAGAGTCCATCAGTAATAGTCTCAAAGCTTCTTATAATAATGAGCCTAGGCCTCCTCAGCAAATGCCGAACTATGATAAAGCACTGTTTGGCAGAGATACAGGAGGGTATATATGTGTGCTTAATGCGTAAACAACTGCATCAGTAGCAGCATTACCACCTAGCAATTGTTAGGCACCTGCTGTGTGCCAAGTACCCTGTCCCTGTGTCCTCAGATCAGCATGCAGAAAGTCAATACAATTACTTCTCCATTGAATGGATGAGAACTGCAAAGGCTCCCAGAGAGATCAAGGAGCCTTGCCTCCTGTGGGTGTCCTGGTGGAGAGAGCCCCTAGACGACCTTGGGCCACTGGTCTGCTCTTTTCTTTGGGACCTTACAGCTAAAGAGTGTTGGGAAAATGAGCCAGGCTCCGTGGCTCACGCCTGTCATCCCAGCACTCAGGGAGGCAGAGGCAGGTGGATCTCTGTGAGTTTGAGGCCAGCCTGGTCTACAAAGCAAGTCCAGAACAGGCAAGGCTACACAAAGAAACTCTGTCTTGAAAAACCACAAAAAGAAAAAAAAAAAAAAAAGAGTGTGGGGAAACTGAATCAGTGAAATGAGAAGTTCACATTTGGTGACTAAGGGGAGCAGGCTGCAGGAACAGGGCGGGAGGCTGTGGCGGTGGAAAGGCCAGGTGGGGGCGGAGGCCACAGTGATTAGACTTCCTGGCCAGCTGACACTCTGCGCTCATAGAGGCCCCCATCCCCCACCCCACTGAGAACCTGGCAGAGGAATGAGCGGAAGTTGGGTGGAGAGTGCAGGCAGGGTCCCAGCCTGAGGTGCCTTCCCCACTCTGTGTTTCCCTCACTCCCCATGGCCTCCTTTTTCTCACATAGAAATGGGCTTGGTTGGCAGCACTCGCTATCAAGTCAGAACTACTTACACCATGTCTTGCACGACCCCCTGGTCCGAACCTGACACCCATTCCCGGTAAATACACTCTTAAGGTCTCTTCTTGTTCCAGTTGGCTAAGATCACCTGCCATAGCCAAATATTAAGAAACCAGGACCACGAACTAGCTACTGAGAAAAACAGTTGGAGTTCCGTGCCCATAATCCCTTACCTAAACCCTTGGGATTGGAAGTATTGGGAAAAATTCAGAATTTTTGCAAAATTGAAAAGGGAAGGTCGGTGCATGGGATCCTTCCAGTGGAGGCCTATAACCAGGCGCTCGCATGAGTATTTCTACAGTAGGACATCCAGAACCACACTTCAAGGATGAGGAAGGGACCATGGTCAAGGCAGGTGGGGCTGTAAAAGTGACTCACTGCAAGTTTCAGGACACAGCAGATTCCAGGGACCTGGAAGGCTTGGAATGAAGCTCCAGGACTGTGGTGTTACTGTAAGAGACAAGGTCTGGGCTTTGAAATCTGTCAGGAAGGTGGCAAGTGACCAATGGCAGGTGCCAGCAAGGTGCAGTGCCTTATCTGAAGACTTGTTCCTGTTTCCCCAGAGATGGTGAGGATAGGATCTGCCCTAAATGCAGCGCAAACAGCCTCCAGCCTGTGAATCCAGGAAGACTTCTGACTCAGGAGAAGGTATGTTAAAATAGACAGGCGGGCGGGGGTGGGGAGGGCTGTCCACCCATCTTTTGGAGACTGATGAGTTGGCTCCATCTGTGAGGGCCTGAGTTTCAGCACTAGAATCCATGTAATAAAGATCCATGTAATAAAGCTGTGTGTAATGATGCATGCCACCCCAGTGCGGGGAGGAGGGCACATGGACCCCTGGGGCTCGCTGGCCAGTCACAGAGTTTTCCCCGGCTAATCGGGACCTTGTGAAGGAAGAGAAGGGGGATGGAGACTGGTCCAAGGAGAGGTAGGTAGTCTCCCAGGTGGCCCCTGACAGGTGTGGGAGCATCCCTTTTTGGTCCTGAGGCTACCGTGAATTCACTTTATGAGCAAGGTAGAGACAGGTGTTCACAGTGATGGCAGCACATTACCCTAAGCCACCTGGCAGATTCTGATCCACTTAGAATTGACTAAGACTAGAACTGACTAGACTAGGGGGCCCACAAACTGGCTCCAGGACCAAATCCAGAGCATCCCCTGGTTTTATATACAGCCCACAGGATAAGAACAGTTTATATGTTTTGTTTTTTACATGAAAAGGGCTTTCTTTGTTTCACTAACTTGAAAGTAGAGACAGCAAAGATTCGGCCTTGTGTGAGAATCAACTCCTCCTACCCTCTCCTCCTTCCAGTCTGGGAAGAGCTCTTTAAAGGCAGCTGGATCAAGGCCAGCCCCTGAGAGAGCATGAGCTCCTATCTGGGCAGCTTTCTCCATCAGACACGCACGGATGTCCTTTTCATGTTCAGCAGGCAGCTGCTTTAGACAAATAGCTGCAGAGAGCCGTGCAGGACTGGCACCAACCATTACCTCATCTGCTTCTCCTGCAAATCTCTCCACATTCACCCCTTCCCGTCCTTTGTGTTTTTCCCGGGGACAAACAGTGTAGTGGGTGGTAATCTGAGGTACAGCAGAAGCTGAAGAGCGTCTTGGAGCGTACAGAAGTGGGCACTTCTTAATTTTTAAAGCATGAAACCACTGGTATGCAGGGCAGGACAGCTTGGTTAGCTGCACCAATATGTTCAGAGTCAACCTGAGACTTGACCAGACACAACAGAGAGAGGCCTGTCTGCTGGTTTATACGTTTTTAATCGATGGAGAAATTGTATTTAGGAACCATAAAGACTCTATAAAGTGCAAACTCTATGTCTGTAAATAAAGTTTTTTTAAAAAGATTTATTTATTATGTATACACAAGATCTCATTATGCACCAGATCTCCTTATAGGTGGCTGTGAGCTGTGGTTGCTGGGGATCGAACTCAGGACCTTTAGGAAGAACAGCCAGTGCTCTTAACCTCTGAGCAATCTCTCCAGCTCCTGTAAATAAAGTTTTATTAGTATCTAGCCATCCTCACGCTCACGTATTATATGTGGCTGCTTTCTCCCTGTGGTAGCAGAGTTGAGCACTTACAAAAAAAGCATCAAAACCCGAAACTACGTACTCTCTAGCCCTTTACTTGGGAGGTTCAGCCAGTTCCTGACACAGAGAGAAGACATTTTCAGCTCACCTCTTGGGTGAGCCAAGCTGTGCTTCCAGGTGTAAGAGGATTTTTGGAACAGGCCAGAGAGACATACTTATTCAACACGGCCTTGAATTCTGGTATCACACACACACACACACACACACACACACACACACACACACACGATGAAAGGACCTTTGTGGGGAGTCTGTGCAGCCCAGAGGTTTTCAGATCCTGCCAGCTCATGACAAAATAATGAAAGTGTGGAAATATATTCAGTTTTCTTCCTTTATACCTCTTTGTGAAATGACATGAAGGTAGATAGGAGGTTTTGGTAAATCTTTTACTAGATACAGAAAAAGGATGGCTATCTTTTTGTTACTCTCACAATTCAAATCCCAAACAAAACTTGTGTGGGTCCAAAAGTTCAACCTCGCAGGAGATGCCGCATAGAACCTGACCTCTTGGTTTACATGGGAGGAAGACGTACTAGGACTTTCAATGCCAGAGCTCCTCAGTGGCCAGGATTGCTGTTTGGTCACCCTCTGTGTCCCCACAGTGAGACAAATGAATGCTGTCTTCAGCCAAAGCTCTCTCTAGCAGTGAACGAGGCCCATAGATCCAGACCTTGGTGTACAGGGACGGGTTTATGTCCCTCAGGGTATGGTTGGAGGCGAAGTCCAGACCCTACTTCTGGCTTGGCAAAATGAAGATGCTAAGTTGGTTCTAGAAGGTTCTTCCCAGGATCTGTGACATCTGAGTCATAGGTCAACAGCTGCCAGGGCTCCAAAAGGGCTCCACACCTGTCCCCCTTCCTTTGCACCAGTCCCTGTCATTCAGAGAGTGAAGGGACTTCCTGCCCTACCCAGAGCTGACTGAAGGGCTTTCCCTTCTGTTTCTCGGAGCCCCCACACCATACAGCCCCACCTCTGATGGACTTTCAGAGAATAAGGACCAAGTTCATTTCCAGGGAGGAACTTCTGAACCTCCCTATCTGGCTGTCTCTGGACCAGCTACCACAAGGGAGCAGACGCAGATGCCCTCCCATGGGCCTCTGTGCCCCACAGGTACAGCAAGCACAAGGATGGGCTCTGTGCCTTTCAAGGCGTGTTCTGTTCTCTCCTCTTGGCAAAATTAAAACACCACTTATATAAATGTTAGGTAACATGGGCCAGAGATACTTTAATCTGACAGCTTTAGGTCTTTTCATCTTTATCAAGATAAAACCCAAGCAGAACACAGTACAAGCAGGAGGTTTGGATGGAAGGAGGGTCCAGAGCCTAGTCCTTCTGATTAACCTATTTTTTTCTCCTGCCTGAACTGAGGGACCGCCAGGGCTCAGCAAGGGCATATGTTGAAATTTGCTGCCTTAAGACAAACCAAGCAAGGGGCCGGAGAGATGCCTCAGTGGGCAAGAACGCTGACTGCGTGGCCACACCAGGGGCTCCTCTTACCCTGCCCCTGATGGGAACTTTGGGGGACTTTTGACCTAAGGAAAGTGACTAATACTAAGCCAGTCCTTTGCATGTGGTCACTCCCAAGTTTGTCGGCCTGTCCCAGGGTACTTAGGAGACAGAAGCTGGACAGACAAGCCAGGCTGGAGAGCAGATGAGTTCAGCCCAAGGTGCCCATCCCACAACCCCCCCACACCATCTGTTTATCAGCCTGTCCTCGTGAGTCCGTACTAGATCACTATCTCCATACAAAGGGCGCAGAATCATCTGATAGTTACCAACAGAGCAAGCAAGTATTAGAAGGTCAGCAGTGACGCAGTTAGAGAGGCCATTCTTGGCTGGAATGACCTTCCTGAACAAGCAATGCTGGGATAGGAGACAAACCAGGGGCTGGGAGCTGGGGAGGGGCTAGGCAGATAAAAGTGCCTGCTGTGTAAGCATGAGGGCACATGTTCAAATCCCCAACACCTGTGTTTAAAGAAAAAAAAAAAATAACTGGGCTTGGCCATGCATACATACAGTGCTGTGAGGCATGGAGACAGGAGGAGTGCTGGGACTTGTAGTCCATCAGCCATGTACTTGAGGTATGTGGGCTCCAGAGGTGGTCTCTCTCTCTCGCTCTCTCGCTCTCGCTCTGTATCTTATCTATCTATAGATACATGTCTAATCTATCTACCTATAGATATAGATAGATATGTATGTATACACACATACATATATTTATATTAACTATAATAATAGTTACATATTTTAATTATTTAATTTATTTAATTGTTAAATTTTTAATTAATTATAAAATTGCTGTCCTATTCTTTTTCACTTGTTTTGGGGTTTTGGTTTTTCAAGACAGAGTCTGTGTGTAGCGTTGGCTGTCATGGACTCACTTTGTAGACCAGGCTGGCCTCGGACTCACAGAGATCCACCTGCCTCTGCCTCCTGAGTGCTGGGATGACAGGTGTGCGCCACCACGATTGGCTGTCCTATTATTTCTTGGTGTCACGGCACTGGCAGAGTTATGTGCTCTGCGTCGTAGTTTCCATCTGCTGCACGAGCTAATACTAATACCTCTCACAGTTATTATAGAATATGAGGTAATATTTGTAAGCGCACCTATTGGTTACCTCTGTCAGTGTGACAACACACCACATGCTTAATGGTTTAACACGATACAAACTTACAGTCCGGCAGTGTTGAAGGCTAGAAGTCCTACCAGAGGGTGCCGGCCCCAGCGTGTTCCTCCAGAACTGCGGGCCTTCCCTCCACCTCCAAAGCCAACATCCCATCTCCTGTGGATGCCTGTCTCCTGTTCACAGGGACCCTGTGTTTCTTTGCACACTCGGATAGTGTAGGGTCCTCTTTCCACCTCAGGAGCCTGTGTGTCTACACGGTCTTTTAGTCTGTGTCACCCATGACTGCTCCCGCCAGGTTCCTATATCTGGGCCGATTTTCCACTTGAAGGGAAGAAAATGTTGTCTACGAAGCAGGGGTTGGAGAACAGCTTTGCCACGTGGTTTAGGTTAAGGTACCAAAATCTTCTTTGCTGTGGGCCTTGATGTAATACCTATTAGTAAATCGAGGGGACCACCAGGATGCTACTGGATTGCTAAGATTATAGGGGCAGACTGTCAGATTTAGGAATGTTAGGATGGGGAGTTCACACTGGTTAGCCCACATCGGCGAACAACACAGATACAGAGACTGGGGAGAGATGCCAGAGGGACATGATTAGTGTCTTCCCACACACTAGTCCCTAGGAACAGAGGGCCTACTGGCCTTCCTCAAAGGTAGCCTGCTTCCACTCAGTACAAACAACAGAAGTCAGCGTAGTGGACCGAACCCACTCTGAGGGTGGACAGGAGTTATTTTATGGTGCCACGAATTCCCTATTTTGAAAAGACATAACCCCAACCCAGGTGGTGAGAGCACACAGCTTCAATCCCAGCACTCGGGAGGCAAAGGCAGGTGGATCTCTGTGAGTTCAAGGCCAGCCTGATCTACAGAATGAGTCCAGGATAGCCAAGGATACATAGAGAAACCCTGTCTCAAAAAACCAAAAACAGTTTTAAAATAAGTAAACAGATAAATTTTGTGGTGGAGAGATGGCTCAGAGGTTAAACACACTGGCTACTCTTCCAGAGGACTCAGGTTCAATTTCCAGCACCCGACATGGTAGCTCTCAACTGTCTGTAACTCCAGTTTCAGGGGATCTGACACCCTCACATAGACACACATGCAATAAAAATAAATAAATCATTCAAAAGAAAAGACATAACTCTGGGTAGCAGGAGCCCACTACATATACACACTGGAAATTAGACTAGACTGCTTAAACTCCTGTCATTTGGGGGTTCTAGAAGAAGCCATGACATTATTGAGAGCCACAAATCAATCTTCTTCACTGGACCTCAGAGGGAAGAAAGTGATAGAAAAAAAAAACAAAACAGTTTCCTTTGCGGGGGGTGGGGGTCCTCAGAAAACAGAATCAAATGTTATTTCCTAGATCCTGGTTGTGTGTGTGTGTGTGTGTGTGTGTGTGTGTGTATGTGTGTGTGCGCACCCAGGTGCACATAGAGATCAGAAGAGGACATCAGACACCCTGCACTATTGCTCTCCACCTTGAGACTCAGAGCTGGCAGCCTGGCTGACCCTCAGAAGATCTCTTGAGTGCCCCCTGCCCCCACAGCAGGCTGTCTTACCCACAACTCCTGCTTACCCTCAGGTACATCCCACTGTGTGGGCAAAGTCTAAATTCCAGTGTTAGCTGTCCCACTTTCTTCTCCTTCCTTCTGAGGACTGTCAACTTTAAGCCGCAAAGAACGGGAACCATGGACCTGAAGAAGTCACAGGGCCCTAGAGGGTCCCAGGTCAGACATACCTGCCTCTGGTGTCCTTGGGCCACGCACCATCAGCAGTGACCTGTTGGGAGGCTTCCCTGAGGCAGATTGCCAAAGCCAGTGTGTCTCCCTGCCGAGGCCACCCTCTGCCTGCCCCCCCCCCCCCCCCGTTAAACATCTGTTTCCTATTCTTGTGTGGGAGCATCTTGTCCTGCTGCAGACGGCAGTAGTGCAGGTGGGTGGGGCTTTGCTAGGCTAGGCTCCACATCCCAAAACAATGAATGAATCCGCTTTTTTAAAAAGGGAACCCCTGTGGAGCTCCTGTCCCTTTCTGTTCTTTCTATCTCCCCCTTCTTCCATAAGGCTCCCTGCACTCTGCCCAAAGTTTGGCTATGAGTCTCAGCATCTGCTTTGATACCCTACTGGGTAGAGTCTTTCAGAGGCCCTCTGTGATAGGCTCTTGTCCTGTTCCCTGTTTTCTCCCTCTGCCGGTATCTATCCTGTTTGCCCTTCTGAATGAGAATTGAGCATCTTCCCTAGGGTCCTTCTTGTTGTTTAGCTTCTTTAGGACTATAGATTTTAGTATGTTTATCCTATATTATAGGTCTAATATCCACTTATAAGCGAGTCTATACCATGTGTGTCTTTCTGCTTCTGTGTTACCTCACTCAGGATGATTTTTTCTAGTTCCATCTATTTGCCTGCAAATTTCATGATCTCCTTGTTTTTAATTGCTGAATAGTATTCCATTGTGTAAATGTACCATAATTTTTGTGTCCATTCTTCAGTTGAGGGACATCTAGGTTGTTTCCAGATTCTGGCTATTCTGAGTAAAGCTGCTATGAACATGGTTGAGTAAATGCCCTTGTTGTATGGTTGAGCATCTTTTGGATATATGCCTAGGGGTGGTGTGGCTGGATCTTGAGGTAGCGCTATTCCTAATTGTCTGAGAAAGCGCCAGATTGATTTCCAAAGTGGTTGTACAAGTTTACAATCGCACCAGCAATGGAGGAGGTTCCCCTTTCTCCACATCCTCTCCAGCGTGTGTCATCCCTTGAGTTTTTGATCTTAGCCATTCTGATGGGTATAAGGTAGAATCTCAGAGTCATTTTGATTTGCATTTTCCAGTTGACTAAGGATGCTGAGCATTTCTTTAAGTGTTTCTCTGCCGTTTGATATTCCTGTGTTGAGAATTCTCTGTTTAGCTCTGTACCCCATTTTTTAATTGGATTACTTGGAAGAAGACCAACAGAGCCAAAAAATCTGGACTTAGGGGGTCCTGCAGAGACTGAGGAATCAACCAAGGACCATGCTTGGAGAGGACCTAGACCACCTGCTCAGATGTAGACCACAGGCAGCTCAGTCTCCATGTGGATACCCTAGTAAGGGGAGCAGAAGCTGTCTCTGACATGGACTCAGTGACTGACTCTCTGATCACCTCCACCTGGTGAAGTGGCCTAACTAGGCCACAGAGAAAGAGGATCCAGACACTCCTGATAAGACCTGATAGGCTAGGGTCAGATGGTAGTGGGGGGAGAACCTCCCATATCAGTGGACTAGGGGAGGGACATAGTGGAGGAGAAGACAAAGGAAGAGTGGGATGGGGAGGAGATGAGGGAGGGGCCTACAGCCAGGATACAAAGTGAATAAATTGTAATAAATAATAATAATAAAGAAAAAATTAAAAGCGAATCCTGTAGCCTTGTGTCTGCTCAGGCCTGATGCCCTCTGGCCTCCCCTCCTTTCATCCCTGTTGATTATTCTGTCAAAACAAGCTCTCAAAAAAAATCGAGCTATTATTTACATGTAGAAAAAAAAATGTGCTCATTTTAGGTGTACAGTTTGATTAAGTCCTGGTACAAAATCGGGTGAGTCCCCAATGCTGAGATGGCAAACGTTCTGTTCCACAAAGAGCTAGTCATTCCCTGCACACCCCTCCAACTCCCTCCAGCCCTTTCAGCTTCTCCCCCCACAAGGGGTCTTTTAACACCTAACTTCTTTTAACATAAAGTCCTTTTAACATAATGGCTTCAAGGTCTCTCTGTGTTATAGTGGATGTTAGCATTAATTCCATTTGGTGGCTGAATGTGGTTCTGTAGGGAACAGATAATTTTTGCGATACATTTTGTGACCCTGACTCTCCTCCAGCTGTCCCTAGATGGTTTCCTGGTTAGGGTTATTATGAATTAAGCTGCCGTGTGCATTCACACCCATCTCTGTGTAGACATGAGTTTCTGCTTCTCTTGAATAAATTCCTGGGAGCAGAACAGGTGAGTTGTCTTCAGGTCGATTATGAGTTGTAAGCAAGTGATTTGGGTAGGGGCTTGGCTTTTTGTGAAATACTTCCATAGGGCCGGAAATGTAGCCCAGTCGGTAGAATGCTAAGGTGGCACACAAGGCTCTGGGTTCAGTCCCATGTGACCTAATACACCAAGACTTGTGACATGCTCCTTCTTGGCACTCAGGAAACGGAGGCAGGGGAATCAGAAGTTCAAGGCTGGCTGGGTATGATGGTGCATGCCACCATTAGTCCCAGCACTTGGGAGAGGATTTGATGACAGAGGCAGGAGGATTTCTGTGAATTTAGGGCTAACGTGTTGTACATAGCAAGTTCCAAGCCAGCCAGGGCTATATAGTGAGGCCTGTAAATAATAATAATAACATTAATAATAACAGTAACAATAATAATAATAATAATAAATTACTTCCATAAGTTTCCCAAGGTGTCTATACTATTTTGCTTTTGTTGCCCTGTGTCGTCACTGGAACAGGTCCTTGTCACTCTTTATCTCAGCTGTCCTGACAAATGGAGAATGCCCTTTCATTGGGGTTATAGGCAGAGTCCACTTTCATGTAGCTCTTTGTACACTGTATCTGTTCAGCATTCTGAAACTGAAGAGTAAGGGCTAGCTCCAGAACTGTGAGGACTATGTCCCAACAGGACAAATCGCGCTGTTCCAAATGACAGCAGGGCTCTGGTCCTCTTTCTGGAGGACAGTTCTAGAAGAGCTGAGACTCCTAATGTGGAACAAGGCAGGCCAGGTAGAAGGAGCAGAGTAGGCCAAGTCATTTGCTTGGCCGGTTCTAGCCTTGTTGGCCCCTGTTGCCTTCAGTGAGCCCTTGGGGTGGCCTGGGGGCCCCTCCTGGCATCCAGCGACATGGTTATCATTTACAGGTTAACCCTCACCCTGACGTGGCAGAGGCCAGAGTCGAGTGTCCCTTTGCAGGCGTTGGCTGTTCCTTCAAGGTAAGGGACAGAATGCCAAAACTGTACATGGTCCCAGACCCTGTGCCTCTCCCTCTCCAAACCTTCCCAAAGCACCAAGCTCCTCCTCTGGGTGTCTCCTTTGCTAATGAGTTACCAAGCAACAAATCCCACCATTAAGTCATTGTTGCGTTATAGGACGAGCTTCTTAATGCCTCACCTCACCTAAGCCCTTGTGGTAGAATCACTCAAGTGTCCCCCCAACACACACCCCTCTCCATGGTCCTGAATTGTCATCCTGCTCAAGGGCAGGATGGGATGGTCACGCTAAAGCCTGGGATGCATTCTCCTTGTGAGCATAGCTAAGGACTATATTCCTGCACACGGCTTCACCCTGCCCCCACCCCATACAGAGAGCCTTTGACGGGATAATGGATCTGGCTTTGCTTGGTGACCTTTGAGGCCATGTCTCCACTTCGCTGTTCACTAACGACCCTCACTCTCTCGTCAGGGGAGCCCACAATCTTTGCAGGAGCATGAGGCCGCTTCCCAGGCCTCCCACCTCTACCTGCTGCTGGGGGTCCTGAAGAAGTGGAAGCCCTTGCCAGGCTCCAACCTGGGCTCCACGCCCATGGCGCTGGAGCGGAACCTGTCAGAGCTGCAGCTTCAGGCCGCCACGCAAGTGACAGGGGACCTGGAGGTAGACTGCTACCGGGCACCTTGCTGTGAGAGCCAGGAAGAGCAGGCCCTGCAGCAGCTCCTGAGGGAGAAGCTGTTGGCCCAGCTGGAGGAGAAGCTGCGCGTGTTTGAGAACATTGTTGCCGTCCTCAACAAGGAAGTGGAGGCTTCCCATCTGGCGCTGGCCGCCTCCTTCCACCAGAGCCAGTTGGACCGGGAGCACATCCTGAGCCTGGAGCAGAAGGTGAGGGAGATGGCCGTGTGTGTCTTCAGAGTCCAATCGGGGAGCCCCTATGCCACCCAGCCTTCTAGTCATTCACCCTTCTCAAAGCAGTGAGCTCCATCCAAGACTTGGGTAAAAGCCAACACCATGCCATCCAATGCTTTGGGTCTGCTTAGAGTTCACCAGGATCTCCGTCCATGGGCTCCCTCCCTGGCTTCTCATTCGGTTGCTGGGCAGAAGAACAGAGTTCTTCTCACAAAGCTGCATCTTCCCTGTATTGCTCCTGGCTGTGCCTTCTTGGTCCCACATGTGGTCTCCAGAGTGGATAGTCAGTGCTCACATCCTGACAGGCTGTTTTCTTTCGTGCCTTGATTGGCTCTTCAGAGCACGCTGGGCCATGATGGTCCTGCACGCTCTGCTCCAGCGCCCCTCTATCCCCAGCGCTCCTCCAAGCTGGGTGTTGGCACCTCTGGCTGACCAGCCTTCCCCACAGGTGGTGGAGTTGCAGCAGACCCTGTCCCAAAAAGACCAGGCCCTGGGCAAGCTTGAGCAGAGCCTGCGACTCGTGGAGGAGGCTTCCTTCGATGGCACCTTCCTGTGGAAGATCACCAATGTCACTAGGCGGTGCCGGGAGTCGGCATGTGGCAAGACTGTCAGCCTCTTCTCTCCAGGTAACTCCCCCCAGGCACAAAAAGTGGCAGGAGAGACAGGCCCCAGGGGACCTAGAAGACATGAAGCGAAAACAGCCATGCTGGGTCAGGCTGGGGCCCTTGCCAAATCCTCCCCAAAAGTCCACTGCACTCTGCAAAGAGGAATACAAGTCAGGTTCTTCTTGAGACTGTGGGCCTGGGAGCCTAAGTCTGACCGCCAGAGTGGAGCAGGTGGAGAAACTGTCCAGCCAGCCATCTGCATTAGGAGGCAGAGGACCAACAAGTCAGGCACCGTGGGAATACCATGGGCGTCAGTGAATGGGGTAGTTCTTCTTTGTTTCTGGGCCCCTTGCTCAGAACAATGATTTAACAGAATAGGGACTTGGCAACTGTAGTTATTCACTGACTGATAAAACACTCGTGTGTGTGTGTGTGTGTGTGTGTGTGTGTGTGTGTTTCTGTGTGTATAGAGAACATATATATAATATTTACATGCAGCTCTGGGTCTGTTCAAACCACATCACTTGCCAGGACGAGGCTATTCCTGGATGCGACCTCTGAGAGCCTTGGCAGGGGCTAGTTCTCAAGGCCTCACTTCACAGACAAATGAAGTGAAGGCAAGGAGATGGGATCCCCAGCAGGGGCTGATCAGAGCTGCACGGGGCTCTGCCTAGGAATGAGCCATCAGGGAGAGAGCCGCAGAGGGCCTTGGGCTTGGCCACCAGGAGTTGCAGCAGACCCTAGCCCAAAAATTGCCCCCTGGGGCCATCCCCAATGGTTTTTAGCAGAACCGAGAAGTGCCCTTCTCGCACCAGCCTCCAGGGAGAGCCCAACCTTTGGGCAACAGAGAAAATCAGTGCCATGATCTGGAAGGCCTGGGTCTTGACCCTAATTCTGACCCAGGATGTACGACAATGCCCAGCCACTTCCCCTTCCGGGGCTCAGTCTCCAGTTACTTGAGGGCTGGTGAAAATGGCAGGTTCCATGTGTAGCTGTGAGGCAAGAAGCATGGCATCCCAGGGAAGCGTTAAATGCCAGATGTCGAATCCATCAAGAAATCAGAAAGCCAGGTGCCAACCCCGAAGCTAGGCAAGCTTCGAGCATGCGGCCTTCCCAGACACTCTCCTAGAAGAGAGCTGAACCCCACACCCCAGTATCCTCGGGCGGCTGCCTGCTGCACCCCACTCCTCATCTGTACTGCTCAGCACTGCCCACCCACCCGTGCTAACACTGGCTTCGCCTTTCAGCTTTCTATACTGCCAAGTACGGTTACAAGCTGTGTCTGCGCTTGTACCTGAATGGGGACGGCTCAGGCAAGAAGACCCACCTGTCCCTGTTCATTGTGATCATGAGAGGGGAGTATGACGCTCTACTGCCCTGGCCGTTCCGGAACAAGGTACAGGCCCGGGAAAAGACTGGGTTGGGGAGGGCTTTGTAGCCTGGGTCCTGCTAGCTTTAGCCATGGCCTTGAGATCTGGGCAAGCTTCCTGTAATCAGTTTCCTTTCACAAGATGAAGCTGAGGGCAAATCCTGTAGCCAAGGCTCCCCCAGCCCTCTGAGCAGGAGCTGCAGTGTCTGAACCAGAGCACCCTTAGGGAGGGTGAAGACCCGGGTGCTGGGATGTCGAGAGCTCTTCCCGGGGATTTCGGTGCCAGCAAGCTTAAGAACATCTTGAGTAGGTGATGGGAAGCTGTGTTTGCTGGGGTGTGCTCAAGGGCTTGTGCCAGGGTAGAGTTTGTAGGTGATTTATCTTTCAGGGAGTTATGTGATCTGCTCCGGGTACAGCAGAAGCCCAGGGGAAGCCCCAGGGCATGGCAGAAGCCCTCCAGCAGAAGTCTGGTCTCTGCCTGGCCTGGGGAGGTCCCAGCCAGAGTTCCTGAGCCAGGAGGCACATGTGGGTGCTTGCATCCTGCCTCCTTGTCAGTGTGCCTTAGTCTCAGCAGCCAATGTTCGAGGCATCAGAATCCCCACTGCTGTTGGCCAAGGGAGATGGCCCAAAAGGTGAATCCAATTCCCCCAAACATCAAAAAGCAGGTACAGACCCGTGTCATCCCAGAACCAGGAAGAGGGAGACATGAGGACCCCCGGGGCTTGCTAACCAACCAGCATAACTTAACCAGTGAGCTCCACATCTAAGATAATAATAATTAAAAATAATAATAAAGATGGAGAGCAACTGAGGAAGACACCTGATGGTGACCTCTGATTTACACACTCATGCACGCATGCACATATGCGCACACACACTTTCCACTGCCTTCCTGCTGGACGGGCCAGTGAAGGACAAAGCCTGGAGCTGCTACCCTACCAGATGTTCCTTGCACCCCGTGGGCCCCTCCCCAGCGTGGATGTGAAGTGCTGGCTCTGTGGCCTCCTCTCTCTGTGAACTAAGGGTCAGAGGCACAGCCGCGTGCTGAGCACGGAGCCCTATGACCCTAAACACCGGGCTTCTGTGAGGACCAGTGCTGTTCTCTGAGGCCTGACTATCCACTGGCCTCTCCTGTGCAGGTCACCTTCATGGTCCTTGACCAGAACAACCGTGAGCATGCCATTGATGCCTTCCGGCCTGACCTGAGCTCGGCCTCCTTCCAGCGGCCACAGAGCGAGACCAACGTGGCCAGCGGCTGTCCGCTGTTCTTCCCCCTCAACAAGCTGCAGTCACTCAAACACGCCTACGTAAAAGATGATACAATGTTCCTCAAGTGTATTGTGGACACCAGTGCTTAGGGGTGGGGGATGGTCTCCTGAAGGCAATCAGCTCAGATGGGGGACCTAGCTAGACAGCCAGGCCCTGCCCTTGGCGCCCACAGTCCAGGACAAGAACGGGCTGAGTCTGGCATGACCTGAGTGCCACAGCACGTTGGCTGTGGCTGCTGTGAGATTGGAGGGACTTGAGCTATACAAACAGAGACAGCGTGGAGGAGAAGACAAAAGTGCTCTCTTCACACGGACCACACACCAGGAGACCAGCTCGCCAGGAGACCCGCACGCCAGCAGGCCAGCACACCAGCAGGTCCTGAATGTTGAGACCTTAGGTCAGGATGAGGAGAGACTGGCCTGAGGCATGGACATTGAGCCAAGGCTGTGGGGCACCCCTGCTAGGACATTCTCTGTAGGTCAGGGGGTAACCGGAGAAATGTCCCGTCTCTCTGTTGAGACTTAGAAGGAGGACCGAAGGGTAGGAGGGTCAGCTGCTAGTGTGAATTCACCTGTCCTGGACTGCGTTCCTATGGCAGCAGACATTTTAACAGGTAAACCTAGAAGCTGAACTGGGAAATGCTTGTGGTCAGGATTCAAAGACCTTTGATGTTTTGACAGATGAAACAAAAAAAAGCTTTGAATTCTAAGCCTCCTGTCCCTGGTGAGACTACACCCACAGAGGATTCTAGGGAAATACCCAGTATCCTCATCCCCTCCAATTCCCTACTCACCTAAACCTAGCAGCCCAGCTACCCACCAGACAGGAGCACACCCAAGTAAAGACCTTGCCATGCAAGTCTGGGGCTGACGTCCAACACACAGCACCTTCATGACAGCTCACAGGTTACCCAGACAAACGGGGACTACTGACTGCTAGGGACCATCATTCCTCCACCCGTGCATTTTCCTTCCTTCCTTTCTTTTTACTTCCTTCCTTCCTCCCTCCCTTCCTCCCTTCCTTCCTTCCTTCTTTCCTCCCTTCTTCCCTTCCTCTTTCCTTTTATTTTTTCCTTCCTTCTTCCCTTCCTCCTTTTCTCTTTTCTTTCCAACTTACCTTCCCCCTTCCTTTCTCCTCGTCCTCCTCCTTCTCCACTCCCCCATCCTCCTCTCTCCCTTTCTAGAAAAAGTCTCATGTAGCCCAGACTGGTTTCGAACTCACTATGTAGTCAAGGATGACACTGACTTCCTGATTCCCCTGCCTCTAGCTCCCAAGTACTGCGATCATAGGTGTTTGTCCCCCTGCCTGGTTACATGAGGTGCTGGGCACCACCACCAGAGCCTCCTGCATCATGGACAAGTACTCTGCTCAGCTACATACCTACACCTTTAATGGCGCACTTCTGGTGGGAGGAGGGTGCAGTCTTCACATGGTGCGAGAGGCACCATGCTTTCAGCAAAGCATTATGGACAGCCATGTATGCGTCGTCTGTGCTCAGACACCGCAGGGGAAATAGTGAGTCATGCAACCCACTCTCCTGAATCTCCTAGTTCACTGGGAGCAGCCAGCATGAGAGTAATGATCATGAAAAGTAGAATGATGGGAAAAGCATAGAATCCATTGGACAAACCAGGGAGGGCCTCATCGAGGCTTCAAACCAGCCTGATATATGTTAAAATGCAAGAGAGCTGGGTATGGAGGGAAAAAATGCCTTGAAGAAGTGGGATGTGTCTTGGGCTGGGTGACCAAAGGCTGGAGGGGAAGGCAGGAAGCTTAGACCAGCCAAATCATAGATAGGTCAACTGGCCGGAACACAGAAAACATCAAACGCCGAGCTGCTGCACACCTGCAGGGCCCTTGGCCTGTTAACAGAGGCTGAGACAGTGGTTTAAGCAGACAGACCATTTATCCTCCAAAGAAGCCCTGTGCTTATCTCTCCAAGGTCAGGGAGGCAAGCTACTGGCAATCCCATTTCACTGCATCCACACAGCCCTCCTCTGAAGTACTCGGGCTTGTGCCCATTTGCAGGTGGGAGAGCTAAGGCCAGAGCAACCGTGGCAGGGAAGCCAGCTTTCTTGCCTTCCACGAGGTTTCCGTCCGGTGACACCCCCAGCCACGACACGGTGACATCCTCACCAGAGCCCTTGGTAGGTGATGGATCCTTCACCCAACCTGCAGGATATTGCGAACCCCACAGTGGCCCAGGAAGCAGGGCAAGCAGTTGGCTCTGACCACATTTGCTCAGAGGCCACACCGCCAACGCACAATGATGAGCAGTGGGGACAACTGTGGACCTGTGCCTTTAACGTTGAGGTTCTATTTAGATGAGAAGCAGCTGTAGAAAAGCTATAAAAGTATCGCCAGGCAGAAAGAGGTGTCATCATGACCCCAGAGGCTTGAGGGCGCCCCTGGACATGTTTTAGTAGGTTTTCTTGTCCTGTGAAGACAGTGCTTCATAGGTGAAGGAACCAGAAGTCCTGTAATGTCTTCAGGGCAAACGGGCAACAGGCAGATCTCTGCGTCCAGAGTCCGAAGCTTACCGCTAGCTGCGGTATCCTCCCCGGGGATGTGGGTGAGTGGTAGGGGATCAAATGAGAACTGGTGTGCCTCCTGGAACAGCTGCCAGCCCCCCCTCCAGCCCCCTTCTCCAGTGGAGGCGCCTTTTGCTTGCAGCGCTCTGCCTTCGGAGGGAGGCTTCTTGGGCAGGATTTCCTAACAACCCTGTGCCAGGAGCTGGATTTCATTTGCCTCCACATCTGGGGCATGCGTGCTCACACATGTGTGCCTTTAAGCAGGGTGCAGGCACGTGGCACAGATGGGGTTGAGGGAGCACGGCAGAGGGAGCCGGCTACTGTAATCACCTGGGCCACAGGCATTCCTGCATTCCATTGGGTCCTTTCCTGGAGCCCTGCCTGTCTCAAGCTTCTTCCTCCCAGGGAAGTGCTAACATGACTCTGGCCAGAAGCCCCCAAAGAGCAGCATCAAGATCCAGAGTAGGCCAGGCCACCCACCAGCTGGTAGCTTTTACCCCCTCTCTGATGGGGGCTGAGGGGAGGTCACTGAGCCGTTTTCCCATCTAACTTACACCCTCAGCCATCCACAAGCCAATGGCGTAGTTGGATCCATTGCTCCAGGGACTGTACTCCTTCATGTATACGTGTGTGAAGGTGCTTGAAGGGGAACACATCATGCACAGGCATGCATATGTGGAGGCCAGAGATCAGCCTTGAGTGTCGATCTGCAGGTGTGATCACCTTATCTTTCCAGTTTGAGACCGGGTCTCTCACTGTAACCTGGGGCTCATTGATTGGGCCAGGCAGGCTAGTGACAAGGCCCAGGAACCCACCTGTCAATTCCTCCCTGATGTTAGGATCTCAAGCAAGCACCACCACTCCCAGCCTTTTAGGAAGTTGCTGGGGCCTGAACTGGGGACCTCATGCCTGTGTGCAAGCACATTACCCACTGAGCCGTGTCCACAGGCAGGCCTCTTTTTGGAGGTTGAGGGAAATAGCTTGGAGGCGGTGAGGGGGCCACTCCAGGAAACATCTCCTCCATAGCGCCAAGCCACCGTTGGCCTAGGTCTTCTGACTGTGGCTCAGCCTGCCTAGTACACCCAGGAGCCTGTTGGCGTCGCCCTGTGTGGAAGATTCCCTTGTACACAAAACTGATCTCTTTCCACTCTCTCACCGGGACAGCCTCATCTCTGGGGAAGTCCCCGGCACAGCAGGGATGGAGCCTCCTTGAGACACAGGGGCCTCTGCCCCCCCTGGAAGTTTCTACCCCATACACACTGTGCACTGCGGGTGATGAGGGGGCCCCAGGCCCTCAGAGCATGTGCTGTGCAGCTTTCTTGCACTGTAGGTTAGGACAGTCCCTTGCTGTCCCTGAGCTCTGCACCTCGGGGAAGTGAGTGGTAACAGACATAGGCCTTAAGCACCAAGCTTATCAGAAGCCTGTTTTTCACTCTGCCTCAATCTCCACATCTATTAAATGAGGCCACTAAACCCTGTGAGTTCTACTGAGCACCCCACCATACACTGCCAGAACTCAGGTCTCCTGCTATGTGGAAACACACGCACAATACCACACCAAACATACTACACCACATAGACCACACAACACACGTCACACCGCACGAACATAACACACACACACACACACACACACGTGCCGTGAAAGCGCTCTTTGCAGCTAATAAGCACTTCACCTTCTGCTTATGTTGTGGTAATCTGCACAGCTTATCAATTTCGCAGGAAAGACAAGTGTGGCCCTGTCTTGGGATATGAAGTAACTTGTCCACGGCTAGTTTGTGACTGAGCTTTGGCCTCAGCAGGAGTCTATTTATACACTCTCACCTTTGCTCCTGGAGCGACCTGCCCAGCATGGTGGTCACAAACACAAGCGGGCAGACAGCAATAAGGCAGGCTGAAGACAGCGCTCCCCAGACCCGGGCATGGGGATGTGCCGTCCTATGTGGCAGGTGTGACTAAGTTAAAGATCTTTACTTAGGAGAGTATCTTGGATCACCCCTGGGGTCCAAGGTCATCACCAGAGAGACTATGAAAAAGAGTTTTAAGAGCCCAAGGCAGAGAAGTCAAAAATGACGACAGAAACAAAAAGATGGCAGTAAGAACTCCAGCTGTGTGGCAGCCCCTAGACAGGGAGAAAGGGCCCGAGCCTGGGTGCGGCACAAGGGACACTGTTACCTAGAGCCTGACGACTTGATCCGACCCCGTAAATCTCACTTTCAGGCTGCTGACCCTCAGGGCTTGAGGAGACCGTGGCTCTGAGCCACTGCGCGTGTGGTCATGTGTCCCAGCAGTCACAGGAAATGAACACAGCCCTTGAATTGTGAAAACCAGCAACCCAGACTTTATAGCGAAGAGAGAACTTCGCTTATCTCATTAACGTTTTATGTGGCCGACATGCTGAAATGATTTCAACATTCGGGATATTAGGTTTCTAGGAAACTTAGAGACGTATTCGTGACCCACGTGAGCTTGACACCCGACCACACTAGAGGGCTCTTTCCACTGCCTTGGCCAGAAGGAACAGACCCTACCCTCTCCGTGTGGTCTGTGGTCAGCTCTGCAGAACTGGGGATGGAGCTCCCCTAGACCCACATCGCTGCAGGTGAGGAGGCCTGGTGGTGGGTGAAAGTCCCTGCCCCTGCTCTCCCCCCTCCCATCTGCTTCTGGGTCAGCCCAGTGTCCCTGTAAGACTTGACAGTTATTTTTAGCTCTGGCTGGCTCCGCACAGCTGGTCCTGAAGCTTTGCTGGGTGTAAGCCAGCCTCAGCTGCCATCTTCCTGCCAACGAGGGTCTCAGGAGAGGGCAGTTCAATGGTTGTGGGGCCTTTCTGGGCCAATTAGCAAGCTCCCAACCTCCCTGACAAGGATAAGGACCGTAGTCCATGTTATTTTGGATAACAAAGCTGAAGTTCCTGCTAGGCTCAGAGGTGGCTGGCCGCACTTGGCAGGGCTGAAGCTGTAGGTCTGTCCATTCCATGCCAGCTCCTTTTGGGGCCTCACACAAGCTTCTCCAGGGGTGGAAGGGTGGCATTTTGTGCCTCGGAAAATCTTGTTTTGATTTTTTTTTTTTCAACGATGGGGCTTGAACCCAGAACCCCTGGTACTAAGCCCTAGGAAAGTATTCAAAGCAAGACAAGAGCTAGCAAGCAAAATGAAGGAGGCTTGCATGCAAACACTTT